CCCCCCCCCACCACCCCCACACCCCCATCAATCCACCGCCCCCCACCCCACCGTCGTCGCCCCGGGTCCGGCCTCGCGGGGGGGGGGGGAGAAAAAAAAAAAAAAGATTTGGCAAAGGTAAATCGACAAGACACAGGAAAGACGAAGACCCGTCGTTTAGCATCAATCACACGGCACATCATCAAAAAGGCGATCAAAAACGTACTGTTTACATTTCATCACTACGTAATCCTCTCTCGCGGGGTTGAACCACGGACATTATGATAGCTAGTGATTGCCAATTACAGTCATACACTCTTCCAACTGAGTTAAGAGAGGAGATGAGGGAGTTTGGTAGCGTAAAGGACACAATAGCTTTGGTTGAGCTGTTTTGGTTACTTTACACATGTTAAAAAAGTTGGTTATTTCCTATCCTCTTTGCTTTATTTAAAATAGAATACGGAAGTATCGATCTTAAAGACAACACCCCATTTGTTTCATTTACTGGTCGTCGCCAGTAAGAAATATCCACCTATTAGCTGCCGCAGCAAACTCCGTGGCTGGAATAGGAGGTCCCAACGGCTTGAATGCCATACCAAGATTATCCAATCATACATTCTCGAAACTGCGATCCTCATCATGGTCCGACCAACCTCCTTCGGTTTCAGCGCAATCCTCGTCACATCCCCCCCAGAAGCCTAAGAACCTTCAAACACTCTCCATAAGTAGGCGCAAAATATCCCAACAAAAACCCCAACACCTCATAAGACATAGCATCAACAGAATCAACGATTGCGGCCGAAAAATCCAATGACCATTCCCCTTTCACATCCACCATCATTCGTAAATTCCCAACCTGACCAAACTTCACCGCGTTGTCAAAGCAATCATTCCAACACCTGCAAATCAAATCATAACCCACCAATTCCAGAACCTTTGAAAAAACGTCGGCGCCAAACCGAGCAGACATAACCAACATTTTTTCTGTGATCTTTGGTTTTGTCCTCACCCAGTCACTTATAACAAGTTTTCCGAGTTCGGTAGCACCATGTTCAGCGGCCCCAAGGAAAGCGCGTCCGTCGA